TTTAGCAGAACTTTTTATTTCCACAGCTTGGAGGGAGTGGGCTCAGATTTATTTATCAGTGATGCAGTTTTCTGTCATTTGGACTCATCTGCAGTTTTATTTAGTCACAGGTTAGGATTCTTAAAGGGCATCACATTTTTCATCCTGTACTCACTCACAGCCAGGCCTCCTTGTGGTTCTGTTGGGAGGTCTGAGTAGAGGCCAAACTAAGTTCTTTGCAACTCAAATTCGGATCAATTTTGAAACACTGCCCATCACAACAGGGTCATCAAATGAAACAGATACTGTCAATCAGCTCAGGAGGGTCCAGATTCTCTCCTTGACTTCCTGAGTGAGGATCTTCACTTTCACCCAGACATGAAACATTAGGTTCAGGGATGGATGGGAGTCAAAGCTGAAAAGGATATGGCATCTTAAAGTCCTGGGGTCCATTCCTTGGGAAATTCAGTAACCTCTGCCACCTAACAAGGGCTGTTTGTGGAGTCCTGCCAGATCATAGCACAGCCAGAGCTCAGGTAGCAGGGACAGTCTGACCTGCCAGTTGGCTCAGGTCTGTTCAGAAAGCCTGCACCTCAAAAAGGCTCCCTATTTGCAGACTTTACTCATATTAAAGTATGGCTTTTACTTGCATTTCCATTTCCTAGTTTTGAGTAGCTGTCCATTACGAAAAGCCTTTTTCCTTGGGCCTTTTCCCACATACTCATAAATGCGAGCTTGTGGTTTTATCATGCTTGCAGGATATACTGAATTAAGCCCCAGCTCAGGGTTTGACTGGCCACAGGGGCTGTATCCAGGGAAGATCCAGGCACTAGGGCTCGGGACGGAAACTGCAAAGCCTGGGAGGCCTCAGGCTTTGGGCCTCCTAAGGAGGGCTGTTTGTGGAGTCCTGCCAGATCATAGCATGGCCAGAGCTCACATAGCAGGGACAGTCTGAGCTGCTAGTTGGAGTTGGTGCCTCTTACTGTCTTTACAGATGGAGAAAAACTCGAACAGTGCTGTGCGGTAGCACTGGGATGAGCTCTTGATTGTATCTGTGAGGTTTGTCTCTCCCGTCTTTACTCTAGGAATTACTGTTTCTCATGGAATTACTCAGCAAAATAATTATTTACAATTGGTTTTGGCTTACTCCATTAGTGCCAACCAAGCAGTGTTCAACCACTATTCTCATGTAATTATTGAGTTCTTAAAAATGATGCCAAAAGGAGTCTTTGCCAATTTAGCTATGGTCAAGCTGCCCGATGTAGTTTCTCTTACGTGAAGACTGGCGATAAATACATATAGCAATCTGAAAAGACATAAAACTGCAGAATGCATTAGATTCAAAATAGATCTGAGGCAATAAAACTATAGTACTAAGATAGAGAAAGGAGGGAAGTTCAGAGCTTAGTTCTTTGGTGTGGTCCATCTCACAAAGTGTTTATTAAATCTGCCTTTCCATGTACCTCTGGGGAAGGGAGGGGAAAAGAACAGGGAACACGTTTTCAAGGATGAAATTTCCACATTTATTTTTCTTTCATGTGCATAGAAAATGGCAGTGAAGTGTCCTATGAAAGAGGCAGGGAATGGGCATGGTGTTGCTATACCAGACTGGACTTTGTGCTTCCAAAGTACACTATTCATTGTGAAACAAAAGCTGTCTTAGTTTGTTTTTAACTGTTAACAGTTCCTCCGGTTTCCCATTTTTAAGCTGTCCATTTCTTCAAATCTCTTTTCAAATGACACACTGCATTACAAATGATGGCACTTAACCAATGTGGCATTTCCATATTTACACCAACAAAAGAAATTTACAAGACATAATAGCATACAATCTTGACATTTAGTAGTAGCAATAAAACATGAAGGGCATCCATTTTATTTTTTTTTCTGTACAAACTATCAGAACATAACTTTATTCACATTAAAAAAATCATCTTTAATTTGATTTGACCTACACATCCCCCATCTCATTTCACCCGTTTCTCAAACCTCTCATCACATCACCCACACCTTCACCAGACTATAGAATCTACAAGTAATTAGATCTAACACCTAAATAGAGCTTAGAAAGTCCTCGCTCAAAAGTTTCCTTACTTCCCTGAAAATTCCTCAAAATGAAAAAAAAATATGCTCTTCACTCATTCCTTTCATCGCACTTTCACATCTCATCATCAGATCGGCAAGACGGACTTTTCATCTCAATCCAAACACGGTTAGAAAGAAAGAGTTCCTCTGTTGAGCAACCGTCTTGATGCTACACCCATGAGTCCGGGGACCCTGGGTACTGTTCTGCTCTATAGGAAGGTCGTTTAGTGGAATAAAAGTCTACGTAATTTGTGGTTGACTTCAGTCCATACTGTGTTGAGTAATCAGTAGAAGCTGGAAAGTGAACTCGGTCATCAAAATAAGGATCTTCATAGCTATGAGGAGACTGCAAATACAATCTGTATGCATCAAAGTTCTTTCTGTTGGAGTCATCTTGACTATAATACAGCTGTTGATGCTGTTGACAAAATGGAAAAGCAAATAAATGAAACCAACTTTTAAAAACACACATTTAAAGAAAAGCAATGGGAACTTCCTGAATCACATTTTTAAAGCAGTATTTGTGGACTTAAGGTTAGCATCTGTTTCAGGTGCACACTGTGTGGTTACTGAGCCCCAGGAAGATTTCAGCTGCCACTGTAGGTGGGCTGGCTGAGGCTGCCCAGGTCCTGTGCTAAGGCTTCTAAAGAGGTGAGCGCTCCGGAGGGCACTGGATTCATCTCAGTGGCAGATGGCCGCTGACTGTTTTCCCTCCTCACTGGCATCCCTGCTCTGCATCCTGCTGTGGAGAGGCCTGCGACCTGTGCAGGTCAAACAGGGGGATAGCCTTCATGTTTGCTTTCGCACAGGGAACCTGTAGCATATCATACATTTGGCTGGGATTTGGATTCGTGCCTCAGATAATTACATAATTATAGAATCACCTTTTATCTCAGAGATGAAGACTGAGTCCATCCCTCAATTTTAAAAACAGTGTGATCTGGTAAGCAACATCACACTTTGGAAACTGTTGTTAGGCTGTACCGCACAGGGAGTACGCAGCCTCAGGACAGGACAGTTGTAAAATTAGCAGACACGTAAGCAAACCAGGTCTAGTGGAAAAGACTGTCGTAAGCCCATCCGGAGAGAGCAAGGCCAAACACATGTGGGAAACCAGAGTTCATCCCCCACCGCCCCGTGTTTCCTTTGTGCTGCCTTTGCTCTAACTTCACATCAACTTCTTTGAATCGTACGGTTCCTTCGCCTGTCTTCTTCATTATACTAAATCTGCTCACTCAGGAAGATGCAGCCCATGTCTCACACGTGCATCAACAACATGTTCTGGAACTAAACCAGGTGTAATGCTGTCAGCATTCAGAGTTCTCATCCTAGCTCCACCTTCTCTTTTAGAGTCATGATTCTATTTTTCCTGACTTAAAAAAAAACAAAACAGAAAAACACTATAGCATAAGCCAGGCATGGTGGTGCATGCCGTTAGTGCCAGCTACTCAGGAGGCTGAGGTAGGAGGAATGTTTGAGCCCAAGAGATTGACACCAGCTGGGGCAACATAGCAAGACCCTATTTTAAGAAACAAAAAACAACCAAAAAAACCCCATATAAATTATGAGTAACTTGGTAAACTATTTTTCTTCCATCTATTTATAAAAGATGATGGAGTAGAAGAGGGTCTTATAACATCTTTATCTGAAGGACCGGATACAGTTTTGCCTTGGGAAACCTCAACTGTTTTGTCTTGTTAGACGGTAAGAGGAAATCCGATAACCCTATTACCATAATCTCAGGAAGGCCCTGAAAACTGATTACAGGCCCCTCCTGAAGCAGGGCCTGGGTCTGCTACAAACACAGCAACCCCCCCATTACAGTGGGCTTCACCCCGCAGTGACAGAGTCCACTCTGACCTTGGAGAAGAACATATCTAGCCTCAAAGCCAAAACCTTAGGGTTCTTAACTTATGAGTGCAGACTGGGAGGAAGTATATGAAAAAGAGGACGATGAGATGAGATGAGAGAGTGAAGTGTGCTTACTGACCTTTCCTCACCCTGAGGATGGAAAAGATTTTAGAGATTAACAAAAAGGAGGAGAGAAAAAATGCATGGGAAAGGGAAATTGTTGGGGAAGAATGAATTAAAGACTTCTCAGCTGTTCCCATGAGCGGCATGGTGGTCTCAGAGGCACAGACATGGGTATTTGAGAACATGGGGCTACCGTGGAGGTGCTTTGTTTAAACCATGGACGCGTTTCTGAGGAGTGAAGATCCCCAGGAAGTGCTCCTCAGGCCCTGCGTGTTGGCCGAGCTCTGAGAAGTCAACAGACATGGACCCCTTACTGTGTTACTGCTAATTGGCTTTCTTTACAAATAATATTGCAAATTCACCTGTAGCCGTCTATTTTGCTCTCTTGCTGGTGAGGAATAGGAACTGATGTAAATTGGTGAAGGTTTGCTGGAGCCTGTAAGAAAATATTTTATGAAATTAAAACTAGTGCTTATTACTCTGGTCCAACAGGTTGTGTGGTGTCCCGCGATAGGGCTTGAGCTGTCCCTGACAGGGCCTGCCTTCCCCAGCATCGGTGCAGACTGAGGGGCAGCAACCTAGGCTCCTGGGATCTAGTCTGGCTGCTGTTTACCCAGGGGTTGGTAGGGGATAGTAGCAATACCCGTGATTAACCCATCCAACAGGGGGTCCTTCTCAATTTTTGTTCAGACTTGGGGGTGTTTCTCTGGTTGGGTCTGAGCAGCAGCAAAGCTCTTGAGCTGAGGAAGCTTCTCTGCCAGGGCTCTGAGCCAGAGCAGCGGGTCAGAGAAAAGAAGGGGAATGTGATATTAGAGTGAGTCTCATGCCTTTAAGACAGCTGTGATCTGAAACCCCAGGTTCTACAAAGAGCAGGCACAGCATGTCCTGGGCAGTCAACCACATGGAGGCACAGTCTTATGTCTGCCACAGTTAGGTAGGCCGTAAAATGAAAAGAACTTGGTGACTACATAATTGTCTTCAGAAGCCTAGTTGACTCCCGATGATGTCACTAGTTACTCTTCGATTGTTAAAGCTAGCAAAGATTTTATTTTTTTAATGAGGAAAATGAAACATACTCGAGGCAAATTAGTTTATTGAAGCAAGCAAAGGGGATACAGAAGGGCATGCATGCTAAAGAGGCGATCTTGAGAGCTGCTGCTGCACACTGGAAGCAGGCATGCACTTTAGTCTGGATGTGCATTTCCTTTTGCACAGAGCTTGGTATTTGAAATGTAGCATCTGCAATTTTCTGAGCTATTAATTGCCATGGTAACAGTAGTCGATTAGTAAATAGTCCTGTGAAATCACAATATCAAAGACAACAGCAAACTGAGATTGTTCCCCCGGCAGTAGTTAAGTTGCCACCAGCTATTATTTGTATTTCTTTTTAATAAATAGGTTTTCTGAGAAAAGAGTCCTTTTTTGGGGTAGCTCATGCTGATTTATTTGAAACCTGTAGAGTAGTTATAATTTGTCAGGTCGTTGAGAACGAGGACAAAATGAAATCTTGGTAACCGTCTGGGCTGGCATTTAAATCTTACACACATCTTTCTGAATAGTATATAAAATATTAAACCCTAGGCAATATTTTTGCTATTTATAAAAAATAATCATTCTGAGTATCACACTGTACATTCTATAATTCAACTTTTCTTCATGAAAACATAAACGGAATGGATCTTCACTGTTACTCTGAACGTAGGAGATGAGCCACCCTAGAAGATGCAGCCCCTACAAAGCCAGAGAACCCAGGGTTCTGATGCATGGACACCGAGACTGTTGAGCAGGGAGGGACCAAGGCAAAGGGGCTGGCCCTCTGGGCAGCCAAAAATGATTTCCCATTTGGATCCAGCCCTCTTTATTTGTAGCTACCATACGACTGTGTTAACTTGTTTTACCTAAAACAAGTGGAAAAAGCAACAATCCCAGAAGAGGAAGAAGCAGGGAAGAAGAGACGGAAATCCAGTTTGCTGCTGGAGGACCATCTTAATACAAGCATGGGCTACTTTCCAGGACACTGTCTCAGCACCTGGAAATGCGGCCTTTCGAGGTACTGCATCATATACCCGACTGGCGTCTTACCAGGGTACAGGCCTTTGTGTGTGGCATCCCCTTGGCTATTGTAATACTGCATAGGTGGCTGACTCCTATCGTATTCAGAGCGAGGCTCTCTGATTCCTAACAGTGCTGGTGAGGAAGAGGTGCTGCCAACTGAAGGGAAAGCAAAGGAGGAGGGAGAAAGAAAGAGAAGAGAGAAATCAGACTGTCAGTGCCTCTGGAAATCCTCACCAGAAAAACAAAGGTCAGTAATTAGAAATGCCACACAGCTGGTGCTGAAAGTCAGCTCCTGGAGGTGCCAGGAGCTGAGCAGCCAGACCAAGGACAAGGCACACACCCTAGAGGCTCCCACTGCGAGTCGGCAAAGAGGGCTCCCAAGCTCAGGCCCCAGCTGAAGAGCAAGCCACCTGGCTGGAGGGGTGTGACACAGAGGTCATGCGGGGTGCCCGGCAGTGGTCTCAGGGACTAGTTCAGCTTTTGGTAACGGAGGAGTAATTCTAGCCACGCAAAAGTTGTATTTGCTATTTTATGACTGCAGTTTAGTTGCTTGTAAACCAGCCATCTATTGTCTTTTATGTACAACTCTTCAGTAAACAGGTTTTATGGCATATTTTGAATTATTTCTAAACTATCCGCATCTCTAAATGTGTTTAAGTGTGCCCAGTCCATAAAATTCATCAGTCTCTTTATGGTGATCTGTTGTCAGGGAAATCACGCAAATCCAGTAAGCCTGGCTCATCAAGAAGCTCATGGTGCTAAGCCCTGGCCTCACGAGGCCCAGAGGACTTTTACTTCAGCTTGGACCAACCATCTAATAATATGGTTACCCAGGGTCTCCTTTTGTGCATTTCGTCACAGAAGGAAAAGAGAAATATTTCAGCCCCCCCCTTTAAAAATCCATCTTGCTTGCATGAGAGTTAGTTACAAATATGAGGAGCCACTTACTCTCTTGGACACTGGCCCTCTGACACACACTGACGCTGAGCACTTTTCCTAAGCGGCCATGCCCCTGACACAGGGCTCCCCGTGTACAGCACAGGTGGTTGTGCAAGGCACTGTCTGTGTGCTGCTCACCCCACTCACTTTGTAGGTAGTGTTCCAAAATTATGAGAGCAAGGCATCAGATGTGCCCATAAGCAGATCCTACGCTAGTGCTAAAGAATGGACAATTAGCCCTGGGAATTACCGGAGAAACATGTGAAATATACCCTGTCTCTGAAGAGGATCCAAAGGGCTGCCTAGAAATGGGGCTAGGGATTCGTTAACACTGCCTTGCATATAGGCTCAAGAGGTCTGCTAAGTTCACTGCTTAGTAATTATGTGCTAATCTGTCTGAAAGGATTCTAGATCTGTTTATATGCTTTTTGTAAAGTAGCCAAAATTTTTTGGTTTCCCTGGCACTCTATTCCTTAAGTTCCTAAATGATTCTGAGTATTTTTATGAAAGAAGACAGCCCCTAGCTCAGTAAGGATGTTAAAAAGCAGGTATAGGTCTCTTTGAAGAAAACAACTCATAACTTTAAAACTAAAATGTAAATATCCACCAGACCCAGCAGGCACATACAATGATAAAAATAAAAAATAAACTTAGTACAACTGGGGACATCCAGTCATGTGGCAAGAACCAACCACGGGGCATGTGTATCAGTCTTTCTGGTCACATCTGTGCACATGAGCAATGAGACTGCCAACAGGAGTCTGGCCACAACACATAATATTTGTATGTCAGAATGAGCGATATAGAGCCAAATAAAAATAAGCACTACTTCCCCTGTTTCATTTAGTTAAGAATTAAATTTATAAGACTGAATTGGTTTGGTAGTAATAATCTCCCCTTACATATAAAAATTTAGTCTAAGTCACAAAACATTCTTTCCATTAAGTTAAGTACTACAAGTAGGTAAGTGGCATGGTTGTTAAGATTCCTAACTTAAGATCAAAGCCACTCTGTAAAGCCTGTCCCCATAGCTGGATGTGCCAAGGGAGCAGGGGCTTTCCTTGGAAGGACGCAGCTTTCCAGAAGGCTGTTCCAAAGACCTTGTTCAAGGGCCCTGTTTTTAAGAGGGTTTTCCCAAGAAAACTAAAAAGTCACTTTGGAGGAGATTCCAAATGTAAGACCAGTAGGCAGGCAGGACACTTGCAGGTACCACCCACAGTGTCTCTTACCCTGGTCCTCTAGTCTTCTCCATCTAAATGCAGATGCCAGGGCTCCTTCCTGAAGCAGAAGCTAGGTGTGGCGAGAGGCCCTGGGGTTCCTGTACGTACTGTAACTGATGTAAACTGTAACATTTTTCAAATGGAAGGAAGAATTGGGTTTCTTGTGTACAACAGAGTGTAATTCCCAGAAAAGGCTCTTAGTTTGATGTACAGTGTGGGGCGTGAGGCTGAATCGGTTTGTTACGTCTTCTCTGGTGGGAAAACAATGCTTTGCCATACAGATGTTCTCACAAAGAACTGGAGTTGACCCACTGACCTGACTGAATGATGGGTGACATCTGTTGGTTGGTAGTGGACAAGGAAGGATGTGATTTGAATCGGTCTCGCTCTAATGTTGACACAGGTGTAATAAAATGGTTCTGATTCCACCCATCCTGTGAAGTTAAAAGAAAAAGAAACCTCTCAAAATGAATAATGACATTTCATTACAATAAATGATTATGAATGCGTGCTCTGATGAACGCTGATTATGCCAGTTATTCCTGCAGCTTACCTTTTTATAAATGCTCCGGAGGTCCCGATATTGCCATAATGTATTCAAGACCTGGGCTGCTGCCTTCACCACTTTCAGAGAGGATCTAGGGAGAGTGCACGGACATTAATGAATGCGGGCAGTATGGCCTGGGGCTCCACTTGGAGACAATCAGCCTGCAAATTGGTGGACAGGAGGCCACTACCCTCAGGACTGTAGGGATAGGGGCTGCATCAAGTAATCAGGTGCACCTGGAGCCTACCAAGTTCAGGACTGGCCAGAGATCTCAGGAACCAGAGTGAAGTTCGCAGGCACCCAGCTTCACGGAAAGCTTAGGCCAAGATAGGTGCCTGCCTCAACCTCCCTCTGTACCTCTATGAGGGATGCTGATCTTACAGGCCTCCCTGCGCATTGGGATTAATTCAACCACGATCACAGATCCTAAGTGTTGGTGACGCTCCCAAATTAATTTTTCTCCATTATTAGGATTTCATCTAAATACTTTTATTGTTTTCTTATCATTTATTGCTCTACATAGACAAACGTATGTGTTCTAATGTTGGGCTGGGAGCAGAACACAAGACACAGTGAAATGGCTTTCTCCTGCCCCCCATTTGTCCTCAACTTACTTATGATCTTTCTTGGGTTTATCATAACCAACTGTGGCTTTAAAGACTGGGACAGACTGCATGTGTTTCCCCAAAATTCATACGTCAAAGTGCTAAGCAACAGTATTCGAAGGTGGGGCCTTTGCGAAAAGTGGCCTGGGAGAGGCCTCTCACCACTCTACCACATGAGGATGCAGCCAGACAGAGGCCCTCACCTAACACCAAATCTGCTGGTGCCTTCATCTTGGACTCTGTCCCTTCCCTGAACTGTAAGAAGTAAGTCTTTGTTATTTATAAGCCAACCAGCTCATACCATTTAGTTACAGTAGCCCAAGCAGACTATGATAGAACAAGAAACCGATGGAAGATGCAGGGTGGGTGTTTCAAGAACATAAATGTTTTAAGGCTACATTGGGGCTGGGGATTTAGCTCAGTGGCGCAGTGCCTGCTTGGCAAGCATAAGGTCCTAAGTTTGATTCCTGGTCCAAAAAAAAAAGCTACATGCCAGAAAATGTCTCCCCCTACATAATAGGTTTTAAGTGCTGCAGATGTGTACTGGATCAGCATGTAAGAAATGCAGAAATGAAGTCTTTCCAACTGGAAAAGTATCTTCCACAAAGGCCTCATCATAGGACAATCCCAGGAGTGTAGGCCCCTCCCTGCTGCAGACCTACCTGTCGCCTCTGCCTTTGGTTATGTTCACCAGCTTCTCTATGCCTCCTGAGTCAGCCAGGGCCTTGGCGTTCTCCATGTTTTTGCTTGTCACCTCGTGCAGAGCACAGCAGATGGCTGCCATGGTCTCATCGGACAGTATGCTGGGGCCATTGCCACCAGGAAGTCGATTGACCAGGTCTCGCATGGCGTATTTTCCTGTGGAATGCAAGATTAAATTCTACTTTCAAAAGGCATCAGGTTTTTGTTTGCTGAAAAGATTCTGATAGTGTATAGGCTCTTAGAAACAAAATGTAAAGGGAGACTTAACTGGAAAATAAGAAAACCTGCAGCAAAGAAGAAAAGCATAAAGAAAAAATTAACATTTGGGGTGATTTCACTTGAAGAAATGGATTTATAAAACATTACTGTCAACTGCTGAAAGAAAATGTAAATCAATGTATAAAACTGGCTAGACTAATCAAGCTGCTTTAGTTCAGCTATTTTTGATAACGGTGAGTAATGAATTTTGATAGCAAATTTTTATTCTTGACTGAATTCAAATGCATCAAAAAATACCTCAATTTCCTCTTGAAACTTTTAAAAACTTACCTTTGAGTCTGGACCAAGTAAGCATGCCAAATCATACTTTTCATTAAATCTTTTTAGGTTTCAATGTATAAACTGAGTATTATTAAATACTTTTGTCAATCTGAGTATGTATCAGTTGCCCTGACATCAGCAGTAACAACATGTTAATTTTTTAAGAGAAGACATGAGTAAAATTTTGCTATTAAAATTATAGATTTATTATCTCCTAGGAGTAGTACAAAAAAAATAAAGTGCTTAATAAGGCAAGGATAGAAGACTCTCATAGCTATTGAAGCAATTCTTTATAAACTGAATTTCTCTTATTCCTCTCCAAAAAGAGATTATCTCTAGCTTTTTCAGTTTCAATTACCAATTGACAAACTGGAATAAAATACACTACAAACAAAAGAAATTAACTAAAGCTCAAGTTAATATTTTCTTAGGGTTTTATCCCCATGCTAATAATTGAGTTGATGCTCCATGGCATTTTCATCAAAGACCTACTTATGAACAGCAGCAAGCAGTGGATGACTGTCTCACAATGCACACTGCCTACCATGTGAAAGGGAAGGCTCTGCCTTACAGCTAACACTGCTATGAAGAGTGGAAAAACAGTGATGACATTGCATGGCTGGAAGATGAATGTGGTGTCTGAGCACAAGTGATAACTTAGCTCTGCTGATTTTAAATAGTCACAAATGACCAAAAGGTGCATAACATGTAATTTGTCATTTTGCTAAGGTGTAACTCTAAATTGCACTCCTGAGGCTTGGAGCTCACTCTGCCTGTAAGAAACTGAGCCCTGCACTCCTCTCAGAACCTGCAGCTCTGGAGGGAAGGGGTAGCCCAATTTAGCTGAGCCTGTAGTAACTTTTGTAGATAGCTAAAACTTATTTTTAAATAATGTGTGTGTGTGCGTGCAAGAGCAAGAGCAATGACTCTGAAAAAAAAAAAAGCTGTTGCCAGGGTTAGTGATGACAAGGAGAGTGAAGGCGTCGAGCAGGGGTCAGAGGACAGAAGTACTGGGTAAGGTAGAGCAAGGACTGCATTCAGGTGGGGCTCACATGAAGAAAAGAATCTGTGCAGGGAAACAAAAAAGTGATTCATGGAACAGTTCAAGAATGGGCCAACTCAGATAAAAAAAAAAGTGCTCACTGCTGGAGAGATGACCTGCTAGACAAAGTTTAAAAACGGGTATTCACAGAGAGCATAGAGGTATACTGGGAGAATGCCAGGACACAGAATTCCTTCCAGAGGTCTTTGTACATGGCAGTGCTGGTTTATGCCTCCTGTACTGCCCAGGTCTCTTCCTGGGAATGGAAGATGACAGGCCATTAAAGTCAATGTTTTTTTACCATTGGAAACTCCCAAATTATACATGCTTCTTACAAGACATTCAAGTAATACAGACATACAAAATCTTTAGCATTTATCTCCAGAAAGTGTGGCATCTGAGTTACAGCACATCTACTGGGATCAGGGATCAGGTACAAGCTGGACTATGAATAGGTCCATGGAGAGACCTCCTTTTCCTTTCAGAGGGATGATTTGGCTCCAAGGAACAGTGTGTTAAGAGCAGGTTAATCTAGGCACTAACTGAAAACAGCAGTTCTGTCAGGCACCGTTGAAGGGCTTTTGTCATAAGTCACCATAGCAATTCTTTAAGGTAAACGTTATCATCCTTGTTCTTTCATCCTCTTGCTCTTGCTCACATGTGGTATTTTAATGTTAGTTGAATCTAGAGTCAGGAATCCACATAAAATCTTTCCCATTTCTCCTTCCTCTTGCATTGCTGGCGATGAGGCTGGCATGGAGCTTGGTTACTTGTAAGGTGCTCTTACAGCCTTTCTCATTTCCTCTTCAGAGACCCCACAGCTGGAACAGCACTGTCAGCCCTTTTAGACATGGGCTGGGGAAGAATTCCTTTTATACCCAGTCCGGATGTAAGAATTGAGCCCAGGGAGTGGGGATTTTACAGGCCACTCTGGGTTATGTGGCCAGTAAGCAGCAGGCCCAGCTTCAATAAGCTCAGGTCTATGGAGGGTTCAGGGTCTTTTTTTTTTTTTTTTTAATACCTTACACCATTCTTGGGATAAAGCAATCCTTAGAGACAAGCAAGCTGCCCAGGGTATAAAATTCATTGTGATGACACTCATTGTTGGCTTTAGTCATGTGCCATTGCTATCCTTGTGCAAATTCAAGAGCAAAAGCCTTCTAAAATTTTGTGTCTTGCAGTTCTTGCTTACTTCAATCCAGTCCTGATCCTGCTGTATGATGGCAATGGCCTTCAGACCCTGGCTGTGCCCTGGGCCAAGCATTTACCCAGACTGGAGAGGGAAAAGCTACACAACATTCACATGCCTTCTTTTGAAATTTGGAACATGATAGTGCTGGTGAATTAGCAGTACAGAAACTGGAGAGAAAGAATTAAGAAAAAGTTTTTTTTGTTGCTCAGGAAATAGATTTCTCTTGGGGAAGAGAGATACCCCAACTATCAAACAATACTGTAACGTAAACTGAAACTGCTGGCCTTTCTGGAAATTTACCTTCCCAATCAAAGTTGAATTCATGAGCCTGCCTCCTGATGAAAAAGAATGGTCTTACAGCAGGCTACCTGAATAGGCCATGAAACTGGGGACTAAGGCTCAGCTGTAAACACTCTTCAGTGCCATACATCGACACATCAAAGGAAGGTTTCCTGTAAATACTGTACTTGCTCTCCGCTGTAGCTTACCTCGCCAGCAGAACATACCTATGAGTTCCTTGTTGCGCACATCTAGAGCCATATTCCTCAAGGCAGTGGCCACAGAAGAGACAACTCTATCATTATCCATTCTCAGAAGTTCAACAAGGATGGGGAGCCCTTTTTCTTTTCGGACAGCTGCCCGGATGTACGCTGCAAACTAGCAAGCAAAATAAGGCAGTAAGTAATGTCACACAGGGTTCCACTCTCATATGTTACTGCCATCTAAAAACGATGTTTCCAAAAGATGAGGCAATAGATTAAATGTTTTTTTTCCAATTGGAGATTAAATTTGTGGTGTCAGTAAAGAGAAAACCATAGTCTGGGAGATAGATAGGCTGGATGACTGATTTAAAAAGAAATCCCAAAGCCTGAAAATCTCAAACCACCATCTGTCAGATATTTTTGTGCAGAACAGAGAAGGCAGTGATTACTTTCTATCTCAGATACATAAATATGATTAAGGAAGGATCACATGTTTTCTTTGCAGTTGGCCCCGTGCCAGGTCCAGAGGCTATGAATAGGATGGCAGAGACAGCAACCCATCAGCACATGTTAAAGGAGAGCCTGTTTCCATTCAGGCATTTGTTTTTCTGTATTCCCCGCAACAATATTTAGAGTTCAGTAACTTGTCAAAGAAATTGCTTGGAAAAAATTCCTCATCTCAGAAGAAAGGAAATTCTCCAGAAACACTGAGCATCGTAATTCATACGCGCTAGTGAAAGAGTAAGTGTATCTGTGTGCAAAATGCATTCTCATTCAAGATCAGGTTAGCTCTTGTTGCTGCTGCTGATTTATTTTTTTAAATGCAGTCAAGAAATTCTTTTGTGATTATGAGGAATCATATGAATGGAAATAACACTAAGTCATCAGTGATGCAACCAAAAAAAAAAGTAACATTAGAAAATGCGTCTTTAATCTTGGTTTTAGCTTTGAGCCTTAATTGACATTTTTACCAATGTAAAACATCCTTTAAAATCAGGATAACTGAAAGATGTTACTCATAAAGCATCTAATATTTTCCTGCTGTGGCCAAACAGGAGGTCAAAGATCTACCAGCCCTTTGTATTATTTTGAATGCTAAAATATGCAGTTGACGGCCCTGTCTCTTGAAAACCAACAGAATGGATTATTTTAATAATACTAGTAAGAGGAAAAGATGCCTTTCAGAGACCTAATTGACATTCTTCACATGAAATGATACTCTTACAAATCAAACGAAATCTGCAGGGGGGCCACAGACTACACGATTTGCTATAGGGTAAAGCACTCGGGCAGGTCTATCAACTTCTATCGAAAATCTGCAGAACAAACTCTGTAGCCTTTGGAACCGATCAGCTCAGCTCAGACCTGTCCTGAGCACTTCCTTCCAGAGCACTATTCCCAAAATAGCTTCTAACTTGATAACGCCTGTGGCCAAATAACCTTGTTTTTTCTCAATGAGGGTCCAATATTTTGACTCACTACTTATCTTGAAATCACTTAAGTGTAATTCTTGTATTTTAAATGAGTTTGTCATCTGACTTTCATTCAGTGAATGATCCCAGAAATGAAATTCTTTTTTCTTGCGTGTGTGTTTTCTTTTTTCTTTCCTTTTTTTGGACAAGGTCTCGCTCTATACTTCAGGCTGGCCTTGAACTCACTGTGTAGCCCAGGCTGGCCTGGAACTCAGCAATCCTCCTACCTCAACCTCCCAAGTGTTGGGATTACAGGTGTGCGCCACATGCCCCACCAGAAATGAAATTCTTAGAAGCTCAAATTGTACATATTTCAATTATTATCATCAAATGACCCTCTGATCAAAGAAGCTGGAGATAAACACTAGTCTATAGCATGAATATTTACAAATACCTCTGTGTGAAGAACTGTTCTCAGTCCTCTGAGTTTTTATCTTAATCTTTACAATCACCTCAGAAGGTAGGTATCTGAGGCAAGGAGAGAAAGACACAGAGATGCTAGGCTCCAGCTTCTAAGCAAGGGGCCAAGACTCAGGGCTAACAACTAAATTACCACTTTAATTAGGAACAACAAAATAACCACACTGGCTTTGTTAGTACTAGACCAAAATATCTGTATGCATTCAAAATAGCAGCCACCTGCATAAAGCAAACTGTACGCCTACCAATGCTTTTCACTATCATGGAGAATGCCATGCCAAGAGTCTCATTTTGGATGGTGGTAGAGAAAGTAGCCAAAAAGCACACATTACAATCAGTAAAATACACTTGCCAGGAAGTTTCTAAAGGTTGAAAACATTTCAGACAAGGACTGTCTAGGAAGTTGCTAGCTGACATTTAACCAGTTTTGGGAACTTACTTATTCTGGTCACGTTAGGAAACACCTTCAATTTTCATAGTCACACACGTAGAAGGAAATGTGGGACCTCTAGGCATCTGCGTGCTCTGGAGGTGTCTGACGGCAGGGAGGTCCCTCAACTTCCCCACAGTGCTGCCTGCCCTCAGCCCTAATTCACCCCTTCATTGTCTCTCAGCAGGATGCTGCACTGGCTCCTCAGGGGAACCCCAGCCTCTCCTTTTCTCTTTCTCCATTCTGCCTTTTCATGGCTACTGCAGTGACCCCAGAGTGTCCACATCGGACTGTCTTTGAACCCCCTCGTCTGCACATCACGTCCCAGCTCCCGAGGCTGGCCTTCAGGCCTAAACACGATGCCTGTTCTAGCCGAGGCCACTCCTCCCCACAGTCTGTCTCCGTGGCCAGCAGGTAGTCCTGACCCATGCTGTCATCGCCGCACAGGCTTCACCCTTGTCTCCTCTACCTGCACCACTCCCTGAGTACGCCCACCTCAGACTCTGCTGGCTTCATTTGACTCATCCTAAAGATTCTATCTGCGCAACTGTCCCTCAGAAAGCCTTCTGATCTCCTTGCTCCCCTTTTCTCACCATTCTCTCTCCCTTGCAGTGAGGAGGTTCTGTTTTGCTCACCAGCTTCAGAGTCTCCTGTGGAGAGACCATATTATATTCCTCTCTGGATCCCCATAGCAACTGCTCATCTCCCTTTCACAGCTGAATTCTATGCATGTGTGTCCTTTTCATCCCATGCCTGATCTGACTACAAGGACAGAAAGAAGCGTGGACAAGTGCAAGACATCCCACCTTCCAATTGCCTGCAGAGAGGTTCTGGAGGGATCCAGCAGAGCCTTCCAACGTGGCTGGGTTAGAACTTTCAGCTAGAAGAGTCAGATACGGTTTTACCACTGATGGATGCCACAACATCTCAACCCCTTTGGGGGACTTTGACAGTCCTGGGATAGGACCAACTCCATCCCACTGAAAGACAAGCAGCACATATTAAATGAAGGAACACAATCTCCAACACATGAAAACATTCATTTTTGCTGAACTCAGCTATAGCTATGTAGAGTGTTTTTCTTGCCAAGCATGTGATTTCTCATTCCCAGAAAAATAAAACTTCAGAGTTTCATATTAAAGAAAATGCTAACTTGATCCTCTTGTGGAGTTCTTTTTTTCTTTTTCTTCTTCTTCCCCCAGCAGCTAGGCTCAGAGTCTTTGCTGGGAGACTCTTTTCCTAATAAGTCATCCAGTTCATTCAGTCCAAGCAGCCGGGCCTGTGGGACCTCCAGTTCTAGGCGATAGGACAGATTCCTCAGGGTGCACACGCAGTTCTCCACCGTCTGAAACCCAACACAGCATGTAACTGAAAACATCATACCGACTGCTGCAGCACTGAACACTACTGACCCCAAGTAAATGGCCAATATGAAAGAACTTTTTTACTTATGGGAACCTGAAACAATCCAAAGAAGGAACTCGGACTCAAGAGTTTTGGTGGATACCTAAATGATTGGATGTAGAGTGCCCTTAGTACAATGGAAGATCTGGTTTATGCTGACTAAATGGTATAAGGTGCTGGCCCTTTCTGTACAGGGTTGTAGCCATGGCAACTGTACCCGGAATACCAGAACCTTACTGTGTGTGCCACTGCAAATCCTGAGCTTGCCAACAGGTGCTACCAACTCCTGGCCTGGGCACTGCCCTTACCTCCAGAAATCCTATCACTTACGTCTTCCTCAATTTCTCCTCTCTCCCTTGTCTCTGAGGAATGTTCCATGTTTCCTTTTTATTGACATTTTACCTTCTGTACATGGTGTTTGGTCTCTCAAAGTCTGTATCCCATGTGCAACACGCAGTACTGAGTGTCTGAAATCAAGTTCAGCATCTGCCTACCTAGCAAACTCTCCTTCCAACTTGTTACTCCTTTCAGTTTTACCTGTAGATCTTTTGATTCAGTGAGACTCAGTAAAAACATGGTTATTGCCTTGAATTCCTCCCTGCTTTCTCCCTGGGCTTACCACTCAGCATTCTTTTCTCTCTCAGACCCCTCAGCACAACAAGACCTACAGATGACCTCTCCTCGTCAGACCATCCTGACACTATGTCCCTTGGAACTCTGACATTCAGTCCTGCCTCCATTTCTTCCCACGTTCCTCAGCCCCTGAAGCAGATCCTTGTTGGTCACCACAGCTGATACACGTGAGCAGAATGCTTAGGAGGGAGGAAGAAAACAGGATGGGGAGGGAAGGGGCTCACGGTAGGAAGAGACTGACCAGCAGGACAGCCGTAGGAGGGGGACTTGGACAGGTGCATCAAAAGGTGCTGGGGTGGAGGGTGTGGACTATACTGAAGCAAGAAGGGCAGAGAGGTTGGGGGATTCTAGTGTCTTGACTGGGAACTTGAACTTAGCAGATACTCAGATATAGATGGACCTGCTTCTAGGAACATGGCATACAGAATTGGAAGAAATAGCAACAAGGGCCATCCCATGAAAAATGAACCAGAGACAAAACTAGGACCCACGCTAAGTCATTTATAGCACTAAGTCACTGTTTTTATTGTTTTAGCAACTATTTTCTTAAGTTGTCATGTTCCTTTCAACTTGTAATTTGATGTAAAGTACATCCTTAGGAGCAAAAGCAGCTCTAAAATTCCAGAAAGAACCCATGGCATGCAAACAGTAGCATCAGGCAGCTACTGTCACCTGCCACTGTAGCCTTACATGGCCAGGCAGGCACTGACCTTGCTGTCATAATCAGATGTATTCACGCACGTGTGGATCACATACAGCAGCGAGTCCACCAGTCCCTCACAGGATCGCATTTGCTTCCGGGCTTCTTCCCCTGCAGAACTGAGGTTCCTAGGTAGGTGGAGACATGTGGGAGCTGCTGAGATGAACAACTTACTCAGTAGCCAAAAAGTTAACCTTAATAATGCTCTGACCTACTCATTAGCTACCTTATAATGATCCCAAGAAAGGACAACAGACTGCAGCCGTTTGGATTTGGCAGGAGGAGACATGCTGGAGCTTGCATCTGAACACCTTCGGAGCTTACAACAACAGCCAGCTCCCCACCATCCACCAAACAGAAGAGAACACAGGGGCTTGAACCTTAACTGTCCTGCTGTCAGGATGTATCATTTTCTCACCCCCAATGTCATTCTTTAGAGGCCTATCTTTCCCATACACAAAAAGCAGACAATAATACCTCATAAAGTTGTTGTAAGGAAGAAGTAAGTTGCTACATATACAGACATTAAAAAAGTGTCTCCATAGAAATTACCATGTGTGTTATTTATGGTGGGTGACTGTTTTCCTCCCTTTGTTAGTTCATTAACTGTTTCTTTAGTGAACAGAAGATACTAACATTTCTTATATAAAAATGTCAAGCAAATATGGATTTTTTCTCTTGCTAAACTGTTTTCAATTATAAAAAAACCTTAAAAATTATATTGGGTTTCATCTGTATTATAATTTTTGATATTAACTTTTCTTTAAAAGTTGATGCCAAACTATCAGGATGTTTCATGTCCCATTAACAAGGGTCCTAAACAGACTCTGATGTCATGCAAGTTACAAACTTATAAAACTTGAACTAGAAAGTGGGTATCTGGAATGAGTTCTAATGCCTGTTTTTCTTAGCCCTGAAAGATAACATTATCGGTGGCCCCTCCTCTGCTGTTACCTTGCATCACCTCGCTGCCTCTGCAGGCTGTGAGCCTGGCAGCCCTTGCATTAGCTCTAGCTCACAGCCTTCCTTCTCAGCCTCTTCCACCGTGGGTTCCTGCAGGAGTGCATGGTTCTACTTTGCTTCCCTCTCATCATCACCTTTCACTCTCCTAGGTGCTTCCTTCTGCTCCATGGCTTTAATACAACCAATGATCCATGACAATCCACTGCTGATCTTCAGCATGGACCATGCCAGAACTCTGGACTCACACATCTAGTTCTTTCTTGACATTACTGTATGTACAGATAGCAAATTCCACTTCTGAAAACGGTCATGGTAAAACTATAGGACCTCAACTGCTTACCTATCTTCAACTTCTCCTCTTTTCCCTTCAGCAGCACTTCCATGATTCCACTTAATCCAGGTAAATATCTAGGTGTTACCACTCCTTCCTCTGTATCCTCATCTTTTACATTCAGTCTCTTAGCAAGTCTCATCAGCCTTCCTCAACAAAATAATCCAAATCTGTCCACCTCTCCCTAGCTCCTATCCAGAGTAGTCTCATCTCTGCAGCACTCTGAGCTTCCTGTCTCCACTTTAGCCATACTTAGTCTCCCATATCATTGGTTCTCTGATCAGCAAGATACACCCAAGTTCACTGCTGCCCCAGAGCCTCTACACTAGTTCTGACACCTAACCTTCAAATAAGTGGCTCCTGTGGTACTTCAACGTAGGTTAAAGTTCACCTCACTGACACCAAAGGAACCACCCATAACCTTTACATCATCCTCATGGATTTTTATACCTATTGTTATTCTCCTCCCTTGTCTTCCTTTCTCATTAGAACACGGTTCCATCAGAGCAGGGGGCTCATCTGTCTTATTCTTCCCTGGCTTCACATGGAAGTGTGACTGCCCTGAGCCACTTGGAAGCCCAATGGTGCACCCTGCCCCAGGCTCTCATATGGGGACTATGGCTCCTCAGGTGACTGACGGGCCATGTGACCCATCTGGGTTAGGAGGAGCTGGCCTGTTCTCCAGGATCTTCCCTCCATATCTCTCTGCACACAGGGGGCTGACAGCCACCTCTCACAATGCTCACCAGATGGGAGCAGCAGCACAGGCCCTCTCCGTTCCTCTCAAGCAGTTGGCGGAATGCTCAGATGCCTTGGTTTGAATGTATTAAACTACTCTGTGACACCACACTCAACAATTCACACATGGACCGCTGACTCCTCACAACCCTGAGGTGGTACTGCCATCTTTAAAGAGGAGACTGAGGTTCAGAGTGGGGCTGGAAGCCAGGATGTCTGTGGCCAGAGCCTGCTCTCTCTAATATCATGCCACTCTGCTCCAAGTTCCCCGGGCACTGTGATGCTGGGAAAGGGGTCAGAGGTAAGCTGAAGCAATTTCATGGCAAATAATGAGCCTCAATGTATAAAACCTCTGAGGCTGACAGATTTTAAATGTTATAGACAGTGACTAAAACAACAGTATTTGTGTTTACTTTCACTTGTTTACAAAACTCAAAGCCACTGGTTGTTGAAATCATACAACTCTTTATGCACTTTTAGAAGCAAAAATATTGATTATCATATTTTGAATTTAAAAATAAAAGCATATTAGCAATCAGAATGTGATAATCAAAAAATTCTTTAAAAGCGGAAAGTACAGGAATTTTGGCAATAATCTTGGAATGAAATGGCCAACCTGCATAATTCCTAGAAGACTCATTCATAAGACAGCCTCTTTAAGGCCCACAAGTCTGTGCTCATGTTTTTCTTACAATGGCCTAAACTGTGAAGTCAAACTCGAAACTCAGAAGCTACTAACACAAACTCTTCCTGTAATCAAGCTACCTAGGACACGTTATTTAATCACAGAGTTAATTATATATAAAATCACAGAAAGAAGAATTTACCTCAGGCAGCCTGTCGTGTTACGCAGAACTAGTGAAGTCTGAAATTTAATTTTATGATCATCATCAAAAGAAGAGTTATTCCACCCAGAATGTGGGACAATCACAGTGTTTGTTAAGGTGGAGAGAGCATCTCGGATGATTGTCATTTTTACGGCATCACATGACGATAAATTCCAAAGAACTCCTAAAAATTGAAATTTCAAAAATTAAGTCATCAGCGAGAGATCCTGCAGCTTTTGGGAAGAAACAAACATATCAGCCCTAACAGATATGAACTCACTCTGTCCCAAACCTAATCTAGGGCTCATATTCGCAATCAGTGTGGGAGGCACGTTTCGTAAGGACTGAGCGAACATACCTGTTTTCTGACTGCATTATTCCAAAGTTTTATGACTCACTTTGAAATTTTAAAGCCTCAGTATCTATCAGGCTGGAAAACTGATTTTTACAGTCAATTAGATTTACTCTGCAGAGGGAGGGGAGCAACTCAAGTAATGGTCAACACATAATGTATCTGCATTTTATAAAACTATTATTCATTGCATGGTCCTTTATATTCAGTGGCTGTATGACAAACTATTTTTAGAATTTAGGTAAGACTTGGAAAAAATTTATGCTCTAGAAAGACTGGATTGTTAGTTTTTATCAACTTTCACTTAGTTACTTTTACTTCTAGGAAGTTCAAACAAATATACTACTTCCAATAACTTTCAATAACTTTACTGCATGGAAAATTGTTATATTTGGTTCTTTCTCCTTATTTGGATAAAGTTTAAACATTTCTATCTCCTTGATAAGAGTTTTAGGAGTATAAGGTACTGTCATTAAAAAAAAAAAAAACTACTGGGTGAGGCGGTTCATGCCTGTAAGGTTGAGGCACGAGGATTGCTGTGAGTTCAAAGCCAGCCTGAAGTGCATAGTGAAACCCTGTCTCAAAAAGACCAATAAACAAAACAAAACAAAACAAAACAAAAACCCAAAAAAACCCACACCCATAGTTCGTAGTTTGTATCAGGATTTCTAGGACAGGAGACTTAAATTTAGCTTATTATTAATTAATAATTTAGCTTATTATTATTATTATTATTAGAGTGTCATTTAAACTGTTTAGCATATCATGGGGTCTTCATTTGGGTGTTAACTATAAGATGGGATCAATTATTGTTAGAACACATACATTTTCAAATAATTGTTCATGTAGAAATTAGAGCAAGTTGGAGACTGGCTTCTACCCTAATGCTATCTTCACACTGGTGTGTTTTCCTGAATGAGAAGAAAGAGGTAGAGGAGATGGTGCAGATGCTTTTCTGAGCACTAAAGCCTCTCAGAGTTCCACACTCCTGATCCACGGATCCTTGGCAAGCTGCTCAGCTGTCTTTATAGTGCCTTCACGACTATCAATACAAATATGCCGCGGCCCTGTGGAGAGGACAGAGCTGGAAAATCGGCCCAAGTACATGGGAGCGAGTCAGGCTTGCCAATGCGACTGATCAAGAGCACTGGAGAGAGATGAGACTTGTAAATGGCAGCTCCAGTGTATTGTAACCCATGGTGCCAACCTGTAAACTGCCTGCTCAGCCCTCTACAGGCATGTTGTAAAAAAGGAGCTATAAAAGGGCAACCAGGAGCTCTTTCCTTTGCAGACAGAGGAGAGATGAAAGCAAATGGCTAGAACTAAAGTGAATAAAACAATGCCCTGACTGTACATGGAGAGGATCAGCACTTCCTGGGTCTTCCTACCTGCTGCAGAGGCAGTGGTAGCACCAGTGCTTGAGCTCTGTCCTGGCCCTGGGTTCTCCTTTGCGCCTGGGCCCACCAGGTTCCTCTTAGCTTTGATTTCTGACCTTGTTAATTTCGTTTCCCTGTGGTCCCCTGTGCTAGGACTTTCCCCCTTCTCTCTCTTACTCTACCACTACAGCCTGTCAGGACCTCAGTCCCTGCAGTGGCCTGTATCTCTAGTCCTGGACTGTTCTCCCTTAAAGAGGGGGAAGGCACTGCATGAGAGTAGAATTTAGTTCAGAATCAGGACAAGTAAAGACCTAAGCATGAGAAACAGTTCTTCATTGGTCTGTCCTGACCACATAGCAGGAAAAGGGAGAGAAGACCAAAGAGTGGTCGAGGCATAGCAAGATGGATGATAGAAACCATCACAAATGTGGTTTTAACATTGTCTGGTAATGAGACCAACCACACTCAAGCCAGGATACCAGTGGGACTACCAGGTGGCACCAGCCAGCCACAGTGGCAGCATGTGGCCCACAAACCACCGATAGGGAAAGTATCATTTCCTAACCTCCCCTGCTGACAATTCTGTAACATGACTCCTAATGCCACTGGTGCAATTCTCTTTCTGTCAAGGCCTTTCAAGTTCCTCACCTCACAAAATTCAGTTCATGGGGGTGGGGAGCTTCATTTCAATAAGTTACTTTCTGCTTTGGAGTAAATACATTCCAGTAAGTTAGCTGCAAGGCAAGGCTTATGGAAAGTAAAACCTATCATATTAGAGGCTATCAATATAAAATTAGATAATATAGTTGCTTTTTCACGGGTGATTGGTTCCAGGTTTCCTTATAGATACCAAAATCTGCAAATACTCTAGCCTCTTGTATAAAACGGCACATGCTGCATTTCCACGTAACCTTTGCACACTCTCTTATAGATCTTAGGTCAACTCTAGATTATTTATAGTACCTGATACAATGTAAACACTCAAAATACTTGTTATGCCATGTTTTTTATTTGTGCTTTTATTTTTGTGTTGTATACCTTCTCTTTCTGTTTTCCTGAATATTTTTTGATGTGCAGCTGGCTGACTCTGTAGATGCAGAATGTGGACGGCTGGCTATATAAAGCCAGTTAAACTTTACACAGAAGTTAAACCCATGCTATAAACTTCAGGTTAAATCATGATCATGCCTAGTGAGGGGGTGGTTCTTCGGCATCCTGAGTCTGGGCTGATGCTGAAAATTACTCTCACAGCTGACAGGAAAATTTGTAATCTGTTGCTTTTGCCTCTGAACCTGGGTACTTCTCAGACCTACTTCTGGGAAGAGAGTATGCCCCATCTTGAGGAGTGAGTCCCTTGCTTTTCTGTGCTGGTTCTAGAATCTTGCTCTTTTTGTCCTCTTCTCAGGCATTCAAAAAGACCAGTAGAGTTCTATGTCAGACCATTAGCCACTGTATTTACTTGGGATTGGACATAGTATAAATATTCATAAATCAACATAAACATAGTACTATTTGCTGTGGCTTTATTCAGTGCAAAGTACTGTGTACTTCACATATGATATTTTAGAATCTAGATGCCCGAAATGAATTAGGTTTTCCAACTGATTATGTCACAGGCTTGAAATTCTACATGTTGATTTTTTTTAAAAAAGGATGACAAATGCTTATATATCTCAATTTTAATTTAAGTTTCACTAAGAAAGTGTAAGGAGGAGCTACAGATTAGTATCCATCCCTTTAGGTTTTGCTATACTTAGTAGGCAGGTAACAAAACAGTTGCTCCAATATATTTGTTTGTGGATTCACTTTAGAGTCTGTATTTGCAGATTTTTGTTTTATTTTCTGCCTGTTAGACTTAGCTTACAGGTATTACCACCCTTTTGTGCCATTTTTAAAACTGAGTATTCACATGTAGGGTTAGGAGATGGGAGGAAGAAGGGAAGGGGAAATAGGCTTCCACCTGCAAAAGAGTCTGTAACTGTAGGGAGAGGGTCCTGGATCTTTAACAGCATCTGTCAGCACAGCACTGCTGCCCTTCAGGCTGACCACTACCTCAGCTACGGGGACAAGAGGAACAGAAGAGTTAGAACAGGCCAGAGCCTCATCCCTGAGACTGTAAAACAGAAAGGAGCACAGCTGCCAAATTATATGTATGAAATTGTTTTAAAAATGTAACCATTCAGCAGACCAGCTGAGCAGGTATCTTTTGGTTAAGTGAGATGACTTATTGATCATAAAACCAGTCTGCCTTTGAAATTCCAGCTTTCATTTCTGCAGTTAAAAAGGTCAGTTATTCTTGAGCAGAAAATAGGAAAGGTTCTATTTTGGCTAAGTATGTGGCATTCAAGAGACCCACACAATGGTAGCTTTATCACCCCTCTGGTCTTGCACTTTACATGTAACACAAAGAGCTACAACACTGGGTGGGGATGTGACTAGCCACTTCCAACACTGAAGAAAACCTTAAGACATTGGTTTTTCTTTCATACTTTCAATCTAAAAAAATAAGGTTTTGTAAAGTGCAAAGTAACTAGTTCTGATCAACAAATACTGGATGAAAAAGGTTCAATTAAACTTAAAAGTCTTAGATACGGATGTGATTAATTTGGGTTTTTGACTCTAAGTAAAAAGCACTATATGACTAGCTAATAATACCTGTGCACTTCCCTCACTAAAGAAGTAATAAAACATGGTTCTCGCCACTTTGTCTAGGGTTTTATTTAATGGGTCAGGAAGAGTCTTGCGAGGGCCCTGAGTAATGAATAGAAAATAGACCTACTCCCAGAGGTAGCAAGTCTGATGAGAAAATGGAGAGCTGTGGGGTCAGTATCCTCCATCAGCTTGATGAACCTCTAGCTCTGATATCCTAATGTAAAATCTGCTTCAAAAATATTTAGCACCACATTCTATTAAGTCCTGGTTCTCAAAGAAAAAGTTAAAAAATAAACTATAATTTGTTTGGGAAGCTTGAGATTTTATTTAATTTAACATAAATTAACTGCTGTGAGGACTATGAATACATGTGTACTAATTAAGAAAATATTAGGAAATCTTATGGATATTATTGTAAAAAAACACGGTTTATTCTCTACCATGGGAAAAAGTACATATGATTATGAGTAGCCAATAAGCACAATGAAATACTGCCATAGGAGATGAAAGTTTGTTTCCCCAAGAAAGAATGAAAAAGTAATTAAACTGCTGTTTTACATAAATCCTAGGCTGTAGAATTTCTAAAGAGCTCTCATTTAAACTAGCTTTATAGCTATTCTAATGGCCAACTGATAAGTTTATAGTCAAATTAGAAGCTGATTTTACTGATTAATTAAAACAATAGCAACTATTTGAAAACTATATTTATAAAAGAGCATTAAAAACCTAACAACAAAGTGCAATTTCTTTGGTAGCATACATACACAACAGCCTACACTTTTTCTCTGAAATAAAACACAATCC